TTTGCAACTGTTTCTAAAATATCGATAGTATTTTGAGGATACATATCTCCTCAAATATTTTGATAGTATTTTGAGGATATAGATATACACACACACACAAAATACAACACACAGTTTATCAATAAATAGTAATTAGATGAAAAGATCAAACTGTACTCATTTTTATTTCCTTTGACCATTCCTTTCTTAAAAATTATTTTGGGGATTCGTGATTTTTTTTCTATATAATATTATTAAATATGTTTTTAATTGGAATTTACCTGAATTGCAACTTTGTCAATAAAACAGCATCCTTATTGTATAAACCAAGAAAATTCAGGAAAGTGTAATTTGCTGAAACTAATATTAGATTCACAGAACTGTGGATAAAATTTGAGTTCTTCTGAACACAGATAGATCCCCTTTATAGTCTTCATTAGATCTATGTCAAGATACTCTGTGTGAAAATTATGTAGTTTCTTAGTGGATTAAATTAAAGTCGGTAAAGCCATTGTATAAATAGCTGGAAACTGAGGAAGTGGAGGGTTTGCCTGGGGAGCTGTGTTTTGTGTGTGCCTGAGAGGACAGCAGGCCCCGGGTTCCGGGAGCATCTGAGTGATCCATCTGAAGGTAGAGGCTCTCTTACTGTCAGCCTCAAAGATAAGTCAACTCTTGCTCTTCAGTTAAGCATTTCTTATTTTTACCTTCTTCTTTTTTTTCCCCCCCCTCAGATGGGCTCTTTGTTTTCAGGATCTATTTGGTATAAGGTCATGTTCTGCATTAACCCATACTGGCCCAGAGAAATGAACTCCATCTCCAAGGAAAGAACAGTACCTCTGGGAATAAGAATGTATATGCCTCTACAGTTCTTCTAGAATATTAAAAAGCATGGGAGGATGGCAGTCAACACTCACCGTCCCTGAAACTCTTACTCGAGTATTTATGATCACAGAGACTGAGCAACAGGACAACAATGACGTCCTAGGTTGAGATTTCTAGTTCTTTGGAGTAGGAAAACCAGCTTGAGCCAAGATCCCAGGATGTTGTAGGCAGGAACTCCAATGAGAATATTCTAGGCTCACATTTAATGTCTTTCTGGCAAGTAGGACAAGCAGACAGATTTTTAAGAAGTTGGTGGGTGAGAACTTATTGGAGAGAGAAGCTTGGATAGGTCTTTGTGGGAACACGTATTCTAAATTTATTATGTTTTTCAAAGAATAGAGCTAGATGCAGATTCTGAATAGGATCTTAGCATATTAGAAGTGCTGTATTGGAATAATTTGGAACCTATTTATCTTAATAAAGTTAGTAATAGCTGAAAAATGTGTGTGTATGTGATTGTGTTGCTGTACTGGGTAAATTATTTGACACTCCAGCGGAAGTGTTTAGCACAATGAGCCAAAATTAGCTTTTTACTTTCTTTTGATATACAGCTTTTCAGAAAGGACATATATATAAACAATAACACTTGCTTTTTCCCTAGGATGAGGTTTTGTCATAAAAAGGTTTGGTGATATTTGATTTCTGCCCTGGACAAAGGTCTTGTTAAAGAGTTGAGTTGTAGAGTTATTTCACATTTATGAGATCTGTTCTTAACATCGATCATTTGGATATTACTGATTTCACATCTGAATGTCAATTTTATGTTTTACTTGGAGAAACTTCATTACATTTAAAGACTATGGACCGAAGCTTTGCATTCTGACATTTCGGAACTGAAATATTTAAAGACAACTTTCAAAACCTGTCATGTATATTATTAACTGCAATATAATAATTTTTATGATTCATTTTTTGTCGTATGTACTCATTTTATACATTTGACTGTCTCTTGCTGTAAGTACCCGAAACTGACAGAGGAGCCTTTCTCCCTCTCATTCATCTCATTCCTTTACTAGACTCTCCACTGCTTTTCTACTGGGTACAGACTCATTTCCCTTTTCTGCCCAGGCCCCTAACAAGTATAGGATTCCCTTGCATGTGCTCTGTAAACAATCCAAACCCCACTGCCAACTTCACATATACATCCTGTACATTCTGTGCCACATTGTCCTTGTTCAGTCTCTTCTTGGAACACTTCAGCTTCCTCATCCCACCTCTCTCTGCTTGCCAAACCCATATTTAGCTTTAACAGTCCATTTCAAATGCCTTTTTTTCCCACGTGGTTGCCCTTTGGCCCCTATTCCTGCAGCTAATATTAATCCCTGGTTACTCTTTAATGCTCTACACACAGTCCTTCTCAAGAACCCTTTACTGTCTATTTTTGACGTTGATGTGTCTTTGTCAGTGTGTAAATCCTTTATGGTAGGAGTTGTATCTTACTTGCTCTTTCTTGCAGGCACCTACCAGAACATCTTGCATGGGCAGCCTGGAGTCAGTAATGTTTAGTTAAATTGTTAACCAGTCACTGTAGTATTCTTTCCAGACCAGCAGTGGTGAATCTCCAGTTAATCATCTGTGAATAGAGATGAATGTAGCTTTATTGAAAATATGACTTACATGATTATTAGATTAGATTGTAGTTAGAGTACGCTTTTAAAGTACCAGATCTTAACATTAGCAAAAAAAAAGTTTGGTAAAGTGGCCAGTAACTTTCTTACATACTAGTAAACCTAGATGTGGATATAGAAAAGTTGTTCTCAAAATTAACAGTGCTAGCAACAACAAAAACACAAATGCTTAAAGGTACATGAATAAGAAATATATAACATAAATAAAACCATCAAACTTTAATAAGAGATGTAAAGATTTTGAGTAATTATAGAAACATTTCTGGATAAGAATATTGAATATTGTGGGGATTTCAGTTCTGTCCAGATTAATTTATAAATTTAATTTAGTCCCAATATAAAATGATCCTAAAACTTCTTTGTAAAATGAATAGGTATGAATAGTTATGGCAGTTTTATAAAGAAGAGTAATGAAAGGGTTTGCAGGATAGGGAATTCTTTGTCAGATATCAACTGATAGTCTTTGCAACAATTTGGTTTCAATACAAGATTTAAGATGTCAGTGGACAGTATTAGAGCCCCAAATAGACCCTTGATATATAATTACTTCATTTGTAACAAAGTAAACATCACAAATCATAGAAGTTATTGATTATTCAATAAGTAGTGCTAGGAAAATTGGCTACTGGGGAAGGGGAGAAATAAGGCTCATATCCTCACCTTTAATTAAATTCCAGAAGGAATAAGTGGTAAATGTTAAAAAGGAAAATAGAAAAGAAATATAGGTTAAAAAAAAAAAAAGAATAAAAAGACCTAAAGCTAAAGAAAAAAAAGGAAAATCAGAGGAAAAGATTGATAATGTTTGATTATGTAAAAGTTTTGAAACATTTGTATGTCAAAACGTGAAAGATAAGGGACACTTTAGAGGACAATATTTGCCAAATGTAATAGACAAAGGTTGCCCTTACTATATAAAGAGCTCTTATGAATAAATAAGAAAAAAATTTAATATTCCAATAAAAATGGGCAAATATGAACAAGGAAAGCCATAAAGAAATGCAAATAGGAAAATGTACATTTAAAACTACTATCAATATAAATTAAAATATATAGGATAAACAGTCATGAAATATCATCTTTACTCCATCGGACTAGGAAAGACTAAAATTTAATACCTAAAGTTGGTAAGAGTATGGTGAAATAGACACACTCATGTATTATTTATTGATACATAAATCAGTGTGAACTTTTTGGGAAAACAGGCTTTACTATTGGATCCAATGATTCTGCTCCTAGTGATCTCTCCTAAAATAATGGAGATACATATTGTATTAGTCATTTCTTCCTGTGTAACACTCCAAAACTGAGTGACTTAAAAATAAGCATTTATTATCTCACAGTTTCTGTGGGATGGGAATTTCTGTGCAGCATAGACAAGTGCCTCTGACTCAGGTTCTCTCACAACCCTGCAATCAAGTGGTGGCCAGACTATATAGTTAAGGCTTGACTGGGGAAGAATCTGCCTCCAGGCTCACTCATGTGGCCTCGGGTCTTTGCAAGCTGTAGGCTGAAGACATGAGTTCCTTGCCACATGACCCTCTCCATAGAGCTACTTTCAACAACATGGCTTGCCTGCTGTAGGGAGAGATGGAGTTCTGTTCTTTTTGTAACCTGATATTGAAGGTAACATCTCCTCACTTCTGTTGGAGTCTGTTTGCTAGGAGTAGGCACCAGGTCCAAATCACATTCTAGGGGAAAAGATCGCATGAGGACATGAATACCAGGGTATGAGTTTTGTTGGAATATTTAACCCCTACGCAGGTTAATATACAATGGTTTTCATCAGTTTTTTTTTATTTATAATAGCAAAAATATAAATAAATAATCACATATACACAAAGAAACCCGTAAGCAATTTAAATATTCCATAGTGGAAGAATAGTTAAATTGAGCTACATCCACACAGTGGTAGTATAATTGCATAATAATAATAATGTCTACCTTTTTTGAGTATCAGTCATGTGCTGTTCATTTGCTACATATTGTACAAATATTTCCGATCCTAACAACAATCATGTAAGGTCGGTCGTTATTCTCATTTTACAGATGAAAAAACTGATGCTCAGAGACAAAGTAGTTCATTGAATTCTCAGGGCTGGCATGCCATTATGGGGTTATCTGGCTTCAAAGCCCAGTAAGCACACTGCCACTGAAGTAACGCTTATGAAGATTATTTAATGACATGAGGAAGACTTAAGAAACTGTTTTTACAAAGTGATCTGCGTGTGCACATTTTATTTACATCGAAGAAAAAAGATAGTCACAAATGTCATCTTTCAATGGTAGAATCATAGAATATTAAAATTTTTCTTTACACTCTTATTTCATTCTAAACCCACATTGTGCATGTATTCCCTTCATAATCATTTTTAAAAATTGGAAAGCTTTGTAAAGTGTTTCAGCTCCCTCTACTCCCAAGGAAAAACCACTAAGAAGACTTGTACACACAGTTCTATGTAAAATTGAAATTTTACTTGATAATGAATCAATTCCTTTAATCTGCTCTTCTAGATTACTGATCTCTCCTTACCCAACTATCTGATGGCATCTTCGGTTGGACTGCTTCCTACCCAGCTTCTGAATTCTTACTTGGGTACCACCCTGCGGACAATGGAAGATGTCATTGCAGAACAGAGTGTTAGTGGATATTTTGTTTTTTGTTTACAGGTGAGTTTAAGGCCAAGGGTTGTCTTTTTTTTTTTTTAATTGTCTTTTTCTATGGCATTACTGATTTAAACCTAACAGATTTCATTGAAAATAATTTAGGATAGGAGGATTTTAGGAATTTAGGAGGATTTTTTCCTTTTTATATCTTGTTCTTTCGATTATACTTCATATTTTGACATTTACATTTTAATTGTGTGGATATATGGAAGTTTATAAAACTGAATTGAACTTTTTTATAAAACTGAATTGATACTGAAAATTCTCTTAAAACAAACAAAAAAAGGAATGACAAAAATAAGGTTCTTTTTTGCAGTGATTTTCAAAATCATTATTTTGAGTTTTTGTGAAGTGTTGTTAATACTATGTTTCTGAAGATAAATTTAGTGAGAATTGGTAGAGTTGGGTTTTTATCTTACTTTATCTTCTAATTATTAAACTCTCCAGTTGGTATTTTTAAGAGTATTATACTGGAAATGTAAAGTAATTTTTTCCAGTACAGTTTTATGTAGAACAAAATATTTTTTTTTAGAAGGTATTGCTTTATAAAAAGCACCTGAAGTATTCCATTACAAATTTAAGTAAGATTTGCATAATTGATTGCTGTTGCCATGCAAATTGTACTATAGTTTAGGGTACATACAATTACATATAAAAGGTTGATAAGAGAGAAAAATCCTGCTCTGTAGGCATATTTATTCAGTTCCTTTAAGTTGCAACAGGAAGAGTTAAAAAAATTCATTTCTTTGGTTGTGCTACATGTCCTTCCTGAGATTTACCAAGATATAAAATCACCATAATTTTTGATGATTTAGTAAGATGCTGATAATAACTGTTATTGAGATCTTTATATGCCATATATTTAAGCTCATTTAATCCCTACCAAAGGGCTAGGAGGTATGCACTTTTATTATCTCCAGCCAAAGGGCTAGGAGGTATGCACTTTTATTATCTCCAGCCATTTGTATATACATCTCTTCCCAGCTCTTGTGTTCAGTGACATCAGCAATCTTGAAACTGATCGTTGCAGGAGTATTTATACAATGGAAAATGGCAGGTGCTCCAAATCAAGATTCTTACCTCTGATCTCCAAGAGCTAGTTTATCAGCACACCAGTGGAGGGTAATTTGTCTAAAGTCACAGCTGCAAGGGGTAGAACCATGATATGAACCAAGGCAGTTGGCTCTGTGAACTATGCTCATAACTAGGACCATAGTTTACTGAGCATGTGACACTGAGATAGCCAACATCTTATTGATCCCTCAACTTGTTAGTTTTAATTAATTTGTTATTAAATATATGATACCATATTAGAAATGTAGTTGTTAGCATTATTCTCAATTTTTAAGGTACTATGTTGTATTAAAAATACTATGATAAATAAAGCCAGAGTTGATTTTTGCTGTGCTTATGTAGTACAAGTTCAGTAAACAGAGTAAGCCCAGGAATATTTATATTGAACTATAATTAAGGCTTATCAATTAAATGGCTTGCTTTAAGAAAAATTTTGTAATATTTTTGACATTCAGGGAATCTGTTTTTTTTTTTACTTTTTTTCTACAAAGTTATATATATATACACACACATTTTATATATATATATATATTTTTTTTTTAAAGAACCTGAATCTAGGTTTAGAGTTTTTATTAAAGTTGGTTTATTTTTATTAATGTAGTATGTTAATCACATTAAACTTTTTATGCATTATATGTTTATAATTACCTTAAGGTACTTTAAGATTCTAACATACACTGCATTCTCAGATTTTTTTAGCATAAATTTAAGTATATTTTATGTTTTTCTAGTTTCCTGAAAATGAATAATCCGTTTGAAATATCTTTCTCCCCCTTTATATTATGTTTGAGCAATTAGAATTTGCCATTATTAGTAGGTCTCATAAGATTTTCACTATTTTTGATACTTTATATTTCTGTGCATCTTAGTAAATCATTCAACTATAATTGGTAGAGTTATAATAGAACAGAATAGTCCATGTATTTGTCAGTAGTGCTTCTAAAAATATAGAGTCTTCTTTTTATCCAGTGATTTCTTACCCCTTTGTTTGAGCTGACAAATTTAGGCTTAGCATACAAGACGGGGGGAAAAAAGGGCAAATAGTTCTTAACCCAGACATTTATGAAAACAACAATAACCACCACAACAAAAAAAATAAAGGCATATTTATGCCTCAGTTTTATTTATTGATGTTACTTATAGCTTAGTATATTTCAGAAAGGATTTAATTTAGCTTATAAAAGATATACAGGAGAATTGTTTAAAACAAGAGGGAAAAGAAGTCATCTTGAAAGGGGAAGTACATAGGAAAAAAGGATGAAGCTTAGGTGAAAGTTAGTAGAGTAAGTGTATTCATGAGGTTTCTCATATTTTGCTAGAAATAAGTCACAAATTTGCCTCTGAGCTTTATAGCCACCTAAATAGAGTCCAGTGTATGTAAAATTAAAGCAATACAAGATAGATGTTCAGAGGAAGGCACAACTATTTCTTGTACAAAAATCCAACTTAGATTCTGTGGACTCGCAATTCAGTTACTCTTTTCCACGCCCTATGTTTTTCTGTGTACCCACCAGCCAAAACCCTAGATGAGTCCGAGGTTTTGATATGCTTTGCACCTCTTGTTTTTGGGAAGTCATACAGCCAGATTGGTAATATTTAATTCTTAATTGCAAACCTTCTGCTGGTTTCTCAACATTGCCCCATAGCCCAACTGTTTCCTTTGTCTTCGCACTCCCCCATTTCCTCAATGACTATTGCAAACCTATCTCAACTCCTCACAGTTTTGATTCCTATCCCCACTTTCCTCTTCAGTCTCAACAGATTACCTCTTTTGCTTAACAGAAAAATCAGAAGCCTTCAAATGAGAAACCCCTCAATTTCCATCTAAGAAATCCACTAATGCTCTTGGGTTCTGCTATGCTCTCAGCTTGCTCTCCATTGTGACAGTGGAAGAGATGCCTTTCTGTAGAAGGCTTGTCCTTTTACTGTGTTTCATTCTTTCATTTTAATGGGGAAACTTTCTAAAACAGGTTTTTGGTTTTTGGGTTTTTTTATTTTACATTTTCACTAAGGTGGTGTGTTGGGAAAAGAATTAGTACAAATTGCCAGGTCCCGGGTCTAGAAGGGCATCTGGGGAAAATCCCATGTAAAGAAATAGCCAGTTTACTCTCACTGGGAACCTGAAAAAGGTTTTCTGCTAGATCTAAGCCTACTTTCTATGGCTGTCATTGTTAACTTTGTTGAAATCAGATGCATTTTCCAGTTTTCATCTGGCTTGATCTCTTAGCAACCTAGCATTCTGTTAACCATGCTTTTTAAAACACTTTCTTCCCTTAGCTATTTTGATTGTTTTTTCCACTTGCCTGGTTCATTAATCAGTGTGTCTTCCTCTTTTCACCCGAAAATTGGTGTTCCTCATGATTCTAGCCTAAGCTTTCTGTTCTTACTCTGAAAACCTTTCTTGCTAGCAAATCCTGTTAATGTGGTGGCTGCTATTCTGTTTCTTTGTGTAAGGACTCCCTCATACACATCTTGAGCCCAGCCTTCTTGCCATAGCTTTGGACCTGTTCCCTGCACTGCTTTGGATCTCTGTTAGGCACCTCAAATTCAACATGGCTGAGGCAGAGTTTAGCACCTCATCCACACCCTTTCCAAGTTAGTTCTAAGGTGCTTTCTATGTCTTCAATGGTGTCATCATAACGCTGATAAGTATCAGACTTAGGGTTTTCAGTAAGTAGATCTTGTTTTTTTTTTATTTTTTTTAAAGAGAGCTCACATGTTAGAGAACGAACACAAGATTTGAAGGCCCACCTTTAAAATACCTAATTTGCTCAGAATTCTATGGAGTAATGAATACCCACTTACTAGTGCCCCCCTTGCACATGTTCCAAATTCCCCTCTCTAACCCACCCCCAGCATGTCTGCCTCTGCCCTTCCCCCACTACCCTCAATGTTTGTATTCAGAATACTTTTCCCACAAAACTGCTAAAATTATGGGTAGGCTTAATTGAACCAGTGTTATATTTTAGGGTCACTATGGATATAGCAGCCTTTGAAACTTACTGGGACATTAAACATCATCTGTTCTAACCTTGTTGCACTGAGAATATTTGCTCCAAACTCTGAAAAACTGATCTACAAATGAAGTTTGGAATAAATACCATTTAGAAGATGTGTACTGCCTAGATATTCTGATGAACTATATATAGAATGTTAAAGCACATTAACACATAAAGAGGGACCACAGCTTCCTATCGGACAGAGGCAGAAGCCCACATAGTGATGTGAAGTCACATCACTAGTTGAGTGGCTAAACCAAGACTAGCACCTGACTTTTCATGTCAGTGCTTTTTCTAATATCCCTCTGACGGGCATTTTTTTCTCGATCACCATGTTTTCCTTTGTTTTTGTTTTTCCCTAAGCACAGACAATTTGTTCATGGTCTCTTGTTAATTTCTTTTGAAGTTTATTGGCATTTCATTTTTTAAAAGTGGTTCTTAATATTTTGAATTTTGGCTGCACCAAGTAGTTCATTTGCAAATGGTAGTGCTTCTCTGTGAGTGGACTTAGGAATACCTGTGGACATTTATAGTTGTGCAAAGATATGATATTACATTAATTACATTAATAAGATTTAGTTAGCAGACCTCTGTTGTAGACTTTTTTTTTTTTATTCCTTGAAGGAAGCTTTTTGGTACAAAGAGACAAATTTGACTTGTATCAAAGACACATCATTTATATGGACTAAAAGGGATGTCTACTTGCCTTGTGTTAACCTGATATCCTACATTGGTGACTTAAAGATTTAAGCCCTCTAATCTCAATAGATGCCCCAAGGAGAGAATGAGTGGCAGCTGTGTATAACCTATTTAAAATTGTTACCTGACCATATTTGAGAAGCATCCTGTTTGAAACATTTCTAAGCCACATATTTATTGGGTTTATTTCTCCCTTTTTTTCCCCTGTGTAAAATATTGTTAACTGTAGTGTTTTATTTTTATTCACAGATTATTATAAGTATAGGCCTCATGTTTTATGTAGTTCATCGAGCTCAAGTGGAATTGAATGCAGCTATTGTAGCTTGTGAAATGGAACTGAAAACCTCTCTGGTTAAAGGCAATCAACCAAATACCAGTGGCTCTTCATTCTACAACAAGAGGACCCTCACATTTTCTGGAGGTGGAATCAATATTGTGTGACTCTAATGAAATGTGTGATTGTCAAGAGCTAGTGTGCTGTCCAAGGTCTAGTGGTCACCTTACCAGCGGGCAGAGACAAGTTCTAATTGTATTATGGCACAAACAAAACTGACTAGTTTTTAAATTGCACAGTTTTTTTAAAGGAAGAATCATTTTTTGGATATGTAATTGTAAATGTAGATGCAAATTTGGGCTGCACCTCTTTATCATTTATTACGCCCACAGTGGCCCATAGGTCTGCACTTTAGTGTTTTTTAATTGTTTTCTTTCTGGGTACTTAAGAACAGAGAAATAACCCAAATATTTTTCTGCTTAGTGTCTTTATTTATAAAGTCCATGAATAGTTGTAAGCATCTTCCCTACTTATAATGATGAGTAAAAGTAAGTAATTTTAAATGTATGATATTATTTAGATGTTCTGTGTCCTTTTCAGAAAAGATAGTTTTTTTTTGTTTTGTTTTTTGTTTTAAGTGGGACCACTTTGCTTCCCTTTTCCTTACTAGTTAGAAAATAGACATTAACTTTTGGTTGAATGTATTTTTGCAAGCATCATTGCAGGACCATTTACACCTTTTCACACAAGCTTAAATCCTACATTGTGGGACTGAAGTGCTCTTAAGATACCTTTTTATTTTCACTGTGGAATATGCAAAGCAAAAGGGAAATTATTTAATGGGCGGTGGCTCAAATTAGAACCCATGTTCTAATTCCATTACATTGGCTTTACTCTCGTTAGATCTTTCATCAAAGGGCTGTCCCGTTGCAGTCTTACTAAAAAGTTTTAGTAAAATAAACTTCCTTTTCTTTTTATATTCCTCATTAGGCTTTGAGATAAAGATCTATTCCTTTAAAATGATGGACTTAACCATCATTGACGATGTCACTCAGGTGGCCTTGTTTCATCAAATAGCCTTTAAAAAAAAAACAAGCTTTAAAATCATGTTTATAAGTCCACTGAATTGCATATATATGTCCCCATAGTCTTCAGCTTTAAAACTATAAATATAATGTTAACTTAATGCCCGAATTTGTATTATTTGCCCTACTATAAAGTAGGTTTATTTTGTTTGTTTTTTGGTACTTGTTTTTCTCTGATAAGACTCAGGAATTCTGAAATGTGAAATTAAGTCTCAATTCTTTCTCTTGTAGCATGAATTGAGTGTATTTATTAATAGCACTTAGGGATATATCATACAATAATTTGGCATATGATTCATATGACGTATGTATTACCCATCTATCACCTTATGTTTTTAAAATGGTTTAATTGTGAACTTGATGACTAGTTTTTTTACAACCCAGATTATAAATATGAATGCAAATTTTCTGGTTGGTATCTCTTTTTTGGCTATGAATATTCCACCTTATCAGAGACCTCCCATTTGCCTTTTCATTAGGGTAAAACCTTTGCCCTGATTTACTAAAGTGCAAAAGAATTCTTTGGGAGCACATTTTTCTAGTCTGATGCTATAGACACATTGCATTTGATTTTAATTCATAAGTTTTTTTCCCCTATTGCAGTTACAATTGATTTCCTTTCCTTCATCATGTTTAAGTTTTCTCACCTTTGGGTAACAGAGAAGTTCATTTATTGATTTCCATACCAAGACCTCAGTGCAAATGATCCAAGAGGCACCTGGGTCTACAGTACTTAATTGGCCTCCAAATCCTTCTTTCTTTCACTGGTAGAAAAAAATATATAGTCCTAGAATATTCGTATTCTTTTTTTTAATCCTAATTACTTGTTTTTATTTTTTAAAATAATTTTAGTTTAATAATCCCGATGAACAATATGCTTGATTTATTCTTTTCTGTCTAACTTGACAATATTTTTCTTGTGCTTCGTGTTTGTTGGTAAGTTTTTGTTAAAGGAATCATTTAAGATCACTACTCTCAGACTTATGTTACACTTCATGTATTTTGAAGTGCATTTATTTACTTAGCATTTTGTAACTTGAATAATTTCACCAAATGAATACCTTTTAGTAGTTTGTAATGAGTTCTTCCAGTTGTTGCATTTTGCTTCATACTTAAAATAAGTATGTAAAGGTAGAAGAGAAATAATTTTTCTGTATTCTGCCAATCATAATTTTATATAATAAAATCATCCATTTTCTACTTAAAATAGTATGGATTTACTATTTCTAAAATACTAATCTAAAGCTGCAATTTTCCTTTGCTGCTTTATTTTTGGCCTCCCAAGTAAACAACAATCCATTATATTTATGCTGTTTGATAGCTGAATTTGGTTACTGGGTTTTAGATGTGCTCTCTATAAATTGTATGAAGCATTGCCATGCCTTATTCACTCCATCTTTAACCCTGCATCCCAGATTTATGGCAGCAACAAATTTAACAGGATCCTTGTACGTTGCCCAAATGATGCCTCCAGTTCTAGAGTGTGTATTTGTAAAAGAAAATGTTTTGATTTTTCAAACTGCAGTATAAAGTTGCTTTATGAACATTTTAAAAAGTATACAACATACCTAATTTCTCAATCTCATTGAAAGATATGTTCTATTTTTAATTCTTTGGGCCTTTCCCTTAGTTTTCCATAGTTTTTTGGTTTATTGTTAATGATTTGTTTACTCTTTGCCAAATTTTGTCATGTAAAGTATCTTTAAACAGCACATCTTTTTAAAAACATGTACATAATAATTTACTAAGTGCTTTCATGTCCATTTTCATTTGATCATCTGATTTGTGAAATAACTTGAAATCTGTACTCTTTGGTTTATGAAGATAATAGAACCAAATCTCTGTCATTAGAACGTGTGTTTTGAGTTTGTGTTCAAAAGTGTGTGGATTTGTTCAGAGCCAGCTATACTCTTGTTTAATGTACTTTGTAACTAACTGCAAACCTAAGATGACTTTCCTTTGATAGGGTCAAACATATGACTATAAACCATTTCCCTCCTTGAGAGGCTAAGTTCAGTAGTTACTCTTACTTAC